AGAAACGGACACTTGACCTGATATACATATCATATGGGGCCTGAACGGAAGCATTTAATATCATACAAAAATATAAAATAACATCCATTGAGCTTCCACTACTATGCCAGGATCACAAACAGAGCATAAGGCAAATAAACATATAGTGCCATGCATCTAAGAATCTAGCTATGTACATATACATATACAATCCCAGCCGTCGAGATTGGGCATGTAAAAAAAAACATTGAAAGGAAAAAGGGTCATGTACACTTCAACCTTAGATCGACAATTAGGGTACAAATCCAAAAGCTTAGCATACTCATTTAGGTGCCTAAACACTCTGAGGTTGACACAAGAGGAATGGATGCCATGGGTTAAGAATGACCTCCAGGTTAAGTGCCTACAGAAACAGACATAACATAAAGTGAGCCAAGCTCAGTGAATAATAGCACATAAACAATTCAATACTCAACTTGAATTATAATACATATCCATGCATTTATAAATAAAGAGATCATATGGTTAATTTGGTTTTGTACCAATTCCAGAACGGCCTTGGGCCTAATCTTAAACGGAGTGGCTTTAAGCCCTTAACAGAGTGGCATGAAGTCCTTAATAGAATGGCATGAAGTCCTTAACAGAGTGGCATGAAGCCCTTAACATAATGGCATCAAGCCCTTTCATGCATGTATGAATTCAAGAGGTGTCTCGTACGGATTTTAGAGGTGACTTGCATTGCAGCACTTAGGGGCTTGCTTTCGCTGAGCTGGAGTAGGGGGAGGTGGAGGCTTATAAGGGGGAAAAACCTTATCCTCAGAGGGGGTAAGCCTCAGTCTCTCTATGCAGCGGGAATTTTGCAGAGAATGAGGTATAGAAGCTTTCATTTCGAAAGAAGGAGGAAACTGAGGGGCATTACACAATCAAGCCAGTTAGAAGAGCAAAGCCTCGCCTTCTGGGCTATGAACGATGGGTTATACCCTTGTGCCTCTTCTGGGCGTCGAGTAGCTTGTACTATCTTTGTAGGCATGAAGGATGTGTACCATGCTACAAGCAGATTATCCTCTAAACTGCGTCGGCGATCGATGGGCACGTAAGGATAAACCACCGAACTTCTAACATCAGAAGGAAATTCTAGAGGATCAGTGAACTTGACAAAGTGATGATTAACTCGCCCCCTTAACTCACATGCCTCAGATTCTGACCAGCTTCTCCAACCAGAAGCCCCAGAGGAGGAAGAAGAAGCCATAGCCTTATCCCATGCAGAAGATTGTGGATTAGAAGAAGAGCTTCCAATGTCCATTTTTGCAAAATTTTGGGTTAGAGAATTATGAGTAGCGGGTGCGTAATCCAAAGGTTGATAGTTTGAAAAAGCTTCCATGACTTGAATATAGGGAGGTGGGTAAAGGTGGCTAATCAATGCATGAAGGTTCTTTCGAGGAAGAACAGCATTATCAAATGACTCTTCGTATAATCGATCAATAGAAGAGAGAATTGATTTGGCCATAAAAGATGTATCAGTCTGTTCGAATACTAAGATGGCGGGAATGTTCAAAGGATTAAAAGAGAATTTAATGCAAATGATAAATGACAGTTGCATTTCTAAAAGAATGCAAAGCCCATGCACGTTCTAAGATGTGGATAAAAGACATTGATCCACTAATATCACCAAGTATTGGGTATATTAGTGCGGGGGGTAATGTTTGCTACATATTTTGTATAAGCCAATTATAATTTAACGTGTGGCAGAATAAGGCCAATACGGGAAGACTATTCAAGTCCTCAATCATAATTACACACGTGGCAATCAGCATTGGTTATAATGAATTTGTGTAACACTGGATTGGCAAAGGGATTTAAGAAGACGTGGCTTCAACGGTTACTCACATTTAAATTCAAAATCAGGAGGGAAGCCTAACTGCAAGTATTGGCATAGTGGAGCTAACTATAAGACAACATTATCCGCGATCATGGAGAAGCGTTTCGACGGTTAGAAGTGCAGTTCGATGGTTATCCTTGAGAAGTATAAATAGCAGAGAAGGCCCCAGAAAAAGCCCCAGACTCAGATCCATAAGACCAGTTTTATTCTACTTTATTTCTTTTCCAATTTTTACATTTCTTGTTCTTTACATTTCTGTACTTCAAATTTCTGTACTGCATTTGGTTTATAGGAGTAGTTTCAAGTAGATTGTTACTGTAAACCTCTACGAGGCTGAATTGGATCATTGTAAGTCTTTCGTTTTAGTTAATGAAATACTGCAATTGTTCTTCATTTAATCATTGTCAGTTTATTCCTCCTAAGCAAAGCCACCAGTAAAAGTCCTCTTCATTGAGGCTGAAAGAACTAAAACACAATCGTCTGATAATTGGTTGGCAATTCAATTTTTGTAAGGACTGATTGATCCTTACTGGCACGCTAAAAATTACTGTAATAACCTTCAAAAGCCAAAAAGGCAACAACGGTGCACAATTTAGTTGACGTTGCATTGTTGGTATACGTATGATAAATGCAGAAGTACGATCTTGGCATGACGCAATATAATCTTTAATCATTCTAACTCCATTATCCTGTAAAATTTTGGAATTGTAACATTGTGTTTATAAAGGTAAGAATAATTTATTTATAATAAACTGTATAGTTTCGTCATATTCTTCAAATATGATGGTTGACATCGTAAGATAAACTCTATCCGTTTATCTTGAACAATAGATTTATTGAGCTAGTATTGTCTTTGACTACAATGTTAACATTGTATCCAATCAAAAAAATAAAATAAAATAAAAAAAATACACCCAATCATGAATTAAGTTAATTAATAGTTAAAAAACACAACCATTTTTTTTATTAAAAAAAAAAAACAAACAGTGAGTTAAAAAACCCAATTACAAAATGCAATGTAATCATTATCATCAATGGTGGGTATTTTATATGTGAACCTAATGAATACAATCCAATCTTTTTTTTTTTTTTTTTTCCAAAAAAGACAGATTCAAAATATAATTACCGTATTAAAAATTAAATTAAATTCAATCACAATCACAAAATACAATCTAATCATCATTAATAGTGGGTACTTTATGCGAGCCTAATGAATGCAATCTAATTTTTTATTTTTTATTTTCAAAAAACATATATTAAAAATACAAACCATGTGATTGTATTCAAAAAACATGAAGACACTATTTTTTTTTCTTCAAAAAACACAGATTAAATGAAATGTAAAAAATCACAATCATTTAAAAAAATAAAATCACTGTATGATCAAAACGGAGTGCAAAAAAACACAATCATATTTTTGTTCATTAAAAAAAAAACAATAAAGTCAATTGGTAATTAAAAAATACAATTATGTTTTTTTTTTCAAAACACATAATAAGTTAAAAACTCAATCACGAATTAAGTTAATTAATAGTTAAAAAGCATAATGAATACAATGAGTTAAAAAATCAAATTACAAAATATAATCTAATTATCATCATTAATACTGCGTACTTTATGTAAACGTAATGAATACAATCTATTTTTTTTAAAAAAAAACATAGATTAAAAATTCAATCACTGTATTGAAAAATAAATTAAGTCTAATCACACTCACAAAATACAGTCCAATCATCATCAATAATTAATACTTTATGTGAACCTAATGAATACAATCATCCTTAATCATCAATAGTTAATACTTTATGTAAACCTAATGAATACAATCATTCTTAATCAATTTAAAAATATAATCACCATAGTAAAAAATAAATGATTTTCTTATAGATTTTGAAATGTTTTCCTTCCAAGATTTGGTCTTAATCTCTCTCACAAACTGTTGCGTAGGTTGCTGCCACTGCGTAAGGATTAGGCTGCTGTGATAGGTTTAGGTTTAGGTTTAGGTTGCTGTGATAGGTTTAGGTTTAGGCTGCTTCATTAGGTTTAAGTTATTCTCTCTCTCCCAAAGGTTTAGGCTATTACGTTAGGTTTAGATTATTCTCTGTCTCCCAAAGTTTAGGCTGTTGTGATAGGGGTGATGGGATTTAGGTTAATATCTATATATTATTTAAATCAGATGGTGGGAATTTTTTTTTTTTTCTAGAAAATTAAGGAATTAAGACTGGAATAATAGAGTTCCCAAAAGGTTTGTGGGTTAAAAAGACCATTTCCTTATATAATAGATAAGCACTAAATGGACCCACAATAGACTAAGCTAGACGATTTTGACGAACCAGAGACAATTAAGTCCCATGTATTATAAACTTTATATGTTAAGAGCACATTTATTTGGTATATTAAGAAGGGGATTGAGAGCTGAGTGAATATGTGGGGTTCATTGGATTTTTAATTCGATATTTGAGTGTGGGATAACAAGAAAATGATTGGAGATGAAAATTTTTTAGGAATTGTAGTATTATAATGATTATACCTTTTCAGATAATTGTTATTCTTGAAGGGTAAAAATATTAAAATATTTTTATTTCATTACAATCAAAAATATTTTATTCCTTCCATCTAATGATTTATTCAATTTATTATCTTATGGCATAACTTATTCCTTATAATTTTATCTATAATCATATTATATATTTAATTATTTTTCTCATCTAATTCCATAATGTAACATATATCTCACAATCTTATTAATAATCCATCGTATTTAACTACAGAAAAAATAATTCCACAATAAAATATAGTCTAAAGAATCCATTGTGTGACGTGTTCCATGGACAAATACAAGGACCAATTAATGACATACCTACCCTCTAAATGGACAAATACAAGAGCAAGGATCCTCTAGAGTGATTTTTCCCTAAAGTTTCCTAAAGTGCTACAGTGTATGGTTTAGATTTACTGGCAAGTCACATCAATTTTTCTGATGTGACTTGTCAGTAAATCTCAACCACACAATATAGCACTCTAGGAAACTTTAGGAAAATTTCACTCTAGAGGATCCTTGGTGCAAATACAAGGACCAATTAATGACATACCTACCCTCTAAACCAACTCACAGCTTTTCCACTATATAAAGGCCCACGAGCCAAGTATTTTTCTCCAACTCTTGCCTTCAGTTCTATCATCCATTGTTTGATAATACTTTGGGTTTGTTTTGGGGGAGGGTGATTGTTGAGATGGGTCTAACTGGTAAGTTGGTAAGGCAAGTGGAGATCAAGTCTGATGGTGATGCGTTCCATGAACTCTTTAGAGATAAACCACACCATGTCTCCACCATGTCCCCTGGGAACATACATGGCGTTGATTTGCATGAAGGTGATTGGGGACATGTTGGCTCTGTCATTTCTTGGAACTATACTCATGGTAAGCCTACCCTAATTTAACACTTTCTTTTTCTTTTCTTTTTTTCTTAAACCAAAGATAAGGAGAAAACCTACAATTATGATTTTTATAAATTGTCGCTAAAACTTACAGTTAGTGATATCTTTCTATGACAAATTTTTTAAATTATTGCTGAAAGTTGAAAATTATTGACTATTTTTGTGATCATTTTTTAAATTGTTGTTAAAATTTATAATTAGTGATATTTTTGTAATAATTTTTACGCTGTCACTGAAAATTAATAATTAATGATGTTTTCTTAATAATATTTGATAAAAAAACGTCATCAATTATCATAGAACTTATTGAACAATAAGTTCACTTATTAGAACCTACATGAAAATAGAAAAAGAATGAATTTGTAGTCCACAATAAAGTTCAAGTCTGGGTCTATCTATTGATTGGTAGGTTTAGGTCTCGTTTGACAACCTTCAGTTTTAGTCAAAAAGTCACAATAACTTGTCTCATCACGTTCCCTATTTTTCTGTATATTTTTTCATAAAGAGTTAAAAAATTACTAAAATAACTTGTTCCTAAAAGAGGCTTTAATCGGCTCGGTGATAAATGGATTTGACCGCGACGGTCAAAATCAGGTTAGACTCAACTGACTCAAAAGACCAACCCAATCATCGATGGGAGATAGAACTTAGCCTGTATTTAGTTAGAGGATTTGATACGAGAAATAGAAAGAGAAGGGAAATAGAAAGAAAATGATAGATGGGGTTGAGGACGTGACTCCGAGTCATAACATCACAAGCTCATCGAAGGTTCTTGAGAGGAACATCGTCTTCAAGAACATTGAAAGGCAAGTGAGAAAAGGCCGCAAGCAGAGGTTGGGCTTGCTTTCGCTGAGCTGGAGTAGGGGGAGGTGGAGGCTTATAAGGGGGAAAAACCTTATCCGCAGAGGGGGTAAGCCTCAGTCTCTCTATGCAGCGGGATTTTGCAGAGGAGGAGGTATAGAAGCTTTCATTTCGAAAGAAGGAGGAAACTGAGGGGCATTACACAATCAAGCCAGTTAGAAGAGCAAAGCCTCGCCTTCTGGGCTATGAACGATGGGTTATACCCTTGTGCCTCTTCTGGGCGTCGGGTAGCTTGTACTATCTTTGTAGGCATGGAGGATGTGTACCATGCTACAAGCAGATTATCCTCTAAACTGCGTCGGCGATCGATGGGCACGTAAGGATAAACCACCGAACTTCTAACATCAGAAGGGAATTCTAGAGGATCAATGAACTTGACAAAGTGATGATTAACTCGCCCCCTTAACTCACATGCCTCAGATTCTGACCAGCTTCTCCAACCAGAAGCCCCAGAGGAGGAAGAAGAAGCCATAGCCTTATCCCATGCAGAAGATTGTGGATTAGAAGAAGAGCTTCCAATGTCCATTTTTGCAAAATTTTGGGTTAGAGAATTATGAGTAGCGGGTGCGTAATCCAAAGGTTGATAGTTTGAAAAAGCTTCCATGACTTGAATATAGGGAGGTGGGTAAAGGTGGCTAATCAATGCATGAAGGTTCTTTCGAGGAAGAACAGCATTATCAAATGACTCTTCGTATAATCGATCAATAGAAGAGAGAATTGATTTGGCCATAAAAGATGTATCAGTCTGTTCGAATACTAAGATGGCGGGAATGTTCAAAGGATTAAAAGAGAATTTAATGCAAATGATAAATGACAGTTGCATTTCTAAAGAATGCAAAGCCCATGCACGTTCTAAGATGTGGATAAAAGACATTGATCCACTAATATCACCAAGTATTGGGTATATTAGTACGGGGGGTAATGTTTGCTACATATTTTGTATAAGCCAATTATAATTTAACGTGTGGCAGAATAAGGCCAATACGGGAAGACTATTCAAGTCTTCAATCATAATTACACATGTGGCAATCAGCATTGGTTATAATGAATTTGTGTAACACTGGATTGGCAAAGGGATTTAAGATGACGTGGCTTCAACGGTTACTCACATTTAAATTCAAAATCAGGAGGGAAGCCTAACTGCAGGTATTGGCATAGTGGAGCTAACTATAAGACAACATTATCAGCGATCATGGAGAAGCGTTTCGACGGTTAGAAGTGCAGTTCGATGGTTATCCTTGAGAAGTATAAATAGCAGAGAAGGCCCCAGAAAAAGCCCCAGACTCAGATCCATAAGACCAGTTTTATTCTACTTTATTTCTTTTCCAATTTTTACATTTCTTGTTCTTTACATTTCTGTACTTCAAATTCTGTACTGCATTTGGTTTATAGGAGTAGTTTCAAGTAGATTGTTACTGTAAACCTCTACGAGGCTGAATTGGATCATTGTAAGTCTTTCGTTTTAGTTAATGAAATATTGCAATTGTTCTTCATTTAATCATTGTCAGTTTATTCCTCCTAAGCAAAGCCACCAGTAAAAGTCCTCTTCATTGAGGCTGAAAGAATTAAAACACAATCGTCTGATAATTGGTTGGCAATTCAATTTTTGTAAGGACTGATTGATCCTTACTGGCACGCTAAAAATTACTGTAATAACCTTCAAAAGCCAAAAAGGCAACAACGGTGCACAATTTAGTTGACGTTGCATTGTTGGTATACGTATGATAAATGCAGAAGTACGATCTTGGCATGACGCAATATAATCTTTAATCATTCTAACTCCATTATCCTGTAAAATTTTGGAATTGTAACATTGTGTTTATAAAGGTAAGAATAATTTATTTATAATAAACTGTATAGTTTCGTCATATTCTTCAAATATGATGGTTGACATCGTAAGATAAACTCTATCCGTTTATCTTGAACAATAGATTTATTGAGCTAGTATTGTCTTTGACTACAATGTTAACATTGTATCCAATCAAAAAAATAAAATAAAATAAAAAAAATACACCCAATCATGAATTAAGTTAATTAATAGTTAAAAAACACAACCATTTTTTTTATTAAAAAAAAAAAACAAACAGTGAGTTAAAAAACCCAATTACAAAATGCAATGTAATCATTATCATCAATGGTGGGTATTTTATATGTGAACCTAATGAATACAATCCAATCTTATTTTTTTTTTTTCCAAAAAAGACAGATTCAAAATATAATTACCGTATTAAAAATTAAATTAAATTCAATCACAATCACAAAATACAATCTAATCATCATTAATAGTGGGTACTTTATGCGAGCCTAATGAATGCAATCTAATTTTTTATTTTTTATTTTCAAAAAACATATATTAAAAATACAAACCATGTGATTGTATTCAAAAAACATGAAGACACTATTTTTTTTTCTTCAAAAAACACAGATTAAATGAAATGTAAAAAATCACAATCATTTAAAAAAATAAAATCACTGTATGATCAAAACGGAGTGCAAAAAAACACAATCATATTTTTGTTCATTAAAAAAAAAACAATAAAGTCAATTGGTAATTAAAAAATACAATTATGTTTTTTTTTTCAAAACACATAATAAGTTAAAAACTCAATCACGAATTAAGTTAATTAATAGTTAAAAAACACAACCATTTTTTTTAAAAAAAAAAAAAACAAACAGTGAGTTAAAAAACCCAATTACAAAATGCAATGTAATCATTATCATCAATGGTGGGTATTTTATATGTGAACCTAATGAATACAATCCAATCTTATTTTTTTTTTTTCCAAAAAAGACAGATTCAAAATATAATTACCGTATTAAAAATTAAATTAAATTCAATCACAATCACAAAATACAATCTAATCATCATTAATAGTGGGTACTTTATGCGAGCCTAACGAATGCAATCTAATTTTTTATTGTTTTTTCAAAAAACATATATGAAAAATACAATCAACATGTGATTGTATTAAAAAAACATGAAGACACTATTTTTTTTTCTTCAAAAAACACAGATTAAATGAAATGTAAAAAATCACAATCATTTAAAAAAATAAAATCACTGTATGATCAAAACGGAGTGCAAAAAAACACAATCATATTTTTGTTCATTAAAAAAAAAACAATAAAGTCAATTGGTAATTAAAAAATACAATTATGTTTTTTTTTTCAAAACACATAAAAGAATTAGTGCAATTGAGCAAACCAAAGAAATTTCAAAACACAAATAAATTTGTCTGAAATTTTTTTAGATCAAAATTTCTTTAAAAAAATATTGAGGAATTCTAATTATTATAAAAATATTAAATGTCTTTTATTTTATAAAATCTTAATATTAAGGACTTCAAAAAAAAATTTCCATAATGCAATATCAATTTGAGAGTTTTTAATCTTTTGTTATGACGTAGGACTTTTTGGGTTAATAGAAAGTCAATGAAACATACGGTGTATAAGTTCCGTATATGAGATTTTTTTTAAAACCCCTAAAATTTTTATACTTTTATCACATATTGTAATTCTTTAGTGTTTTTTTTTTATTATTATTTTAAGAAAAATTATTAATAAGTTTTATTTTGCTTTAAATATTATTGTAAAGTTTTATCAAGTTTTAATATGGATAATTAAATCCTACATGTAATAAATTGTTCTAAAGAGATCTATTTCTCCATAATGATGTATTTTATCTCAATTTCACTATTCTCATTTAATATGAACAACAATTTCATAAATAATTTACTTAAAATATTATTTTCTTAATTCTAAAAATTATGAATATTATATTAAATAAAATTGTAAACAACAATTGGATTAAAAAAACTATGGCATAAAATTCATCATTTTCCGTTGTTTGAAACTATTAATTTTTTTTTTTAATGATATACAATCTAAAAAGACAAAATTTTATTCAAAATCTACTAGTGGAGTTATGGAAAATAAGACTGTGGTGAATTCATATATTTTTCAATGCGTGAGATAACTGATAAATCTTATATTTATACTTTTATTCAAAATCTATCAGTAGAGTTATGGAAAATTAAAAATGTTGTTATTATAAAATTATAAGTAAATTAAAATTATTAATGAAATTTTAGGTTCATTTTCAAGGAGAAAGGTAAAATCGGAATAAAATATACCATTATGAAGTATTGAACTTTATACGAATAGTTTATAAAAAAATAGAACTTAGTTGTTCATATTGTAACTTGGTAGAACTCAATGATAATTTAGCAATTTACAAGTTATCAAAGTAAGATTTTGTTTTTTGCTACTTTTACCTGTGATTTAATTTTTGTATGTATAAAAACATATTGAGGGCTCCATGTCTATAATTCCTCATTCACTTAGCTAGCCAAAATACTCAACCATCCATGAAAAAGGGGTAAAATCCTTTATACTGTGTTTAGTTGAGAGATTTAGAAATAAATTTGAAAAAAGAAAGGAAAAAGATAAGTGAAATATAAATAAAATATATATATATTCAAATAGTTTCACACATTTTTCTCATTTCTTTTTTTAAATCTCTTCTCAAATTCCTCAACCAAATACAGTGTTAGGGGTGGTTGAACTCTTGCTTCAAGCTATTGCCTTTTATCTAACATATTTTATCATGTACCTAAAAGAAAAACAAAAACAATTTTTTTTTTTTTCTCTTAAAAAAGACTGCATATTTTCGAAATTTTCTAAATTTGTAATAGCAGAATCTCATGTACTGAGTTGTCACTCCCTTGAAGAATTATATTTAAGTATTTAACATTTACCAATTGTAATAAATTGAAATCAAATTCTCATATGGTTATCTGAAATTTTTAGGTCACCAAACATAGCAAGGGGGCCTCATTAGTAGATTTCAGTACTTACCCAGTCCACATGGATTAGAGTGTAATAATAAGCCTAACCAACCTTCACAATTAAGGAAAAAGTGTTTGTAGGACATCTTAGATTGGGTTAGCACTACAATAGCTACATCTTAGATTGGGTTAGCACTACAATAGCTACATCTTAGATTGGGTTAGCACTACAATAGCTACATCTTAGATTGGGTTAGCACTACAATAGCTACATCTTAGATTGGGTTAGCACTACAATAGCTACATCTTAGATTGGGTTAGCACTACAATAGCTACATCTTAGATTGGGTTAGCACTACAATAGCTACCCCATACATATCACATCCCTCTTCTATTTCCAAAATGTTCATTTGCTCACCTTCATACTCTCCTAATGCTCCCAAGTTTGTAATCATACATGATTTGTATGGAGGGATTTGCCCTTTGCTTAGCTTGGAAAATTTACCCATAAGTCCTAGTTTTTGAAACGTTGAACCATTTAGTCCTAAAAGTTTTCTTATGCTCCATTTAGTCCTATTTTTACATCAACATGATGTGAATGATGTAAATGATCTGATGTTTCATTCTATAATTTCAAAATTTATTGAAATCTGATGAACATTAGATGTTTTTCATCCTATATTTTCAAACATTATTGAAATTTGATGAACATTAGATGTTTGAAATCCAATGTTTGTACATGACTCTGATGTTATTAACATTGTATCTGATGTTATTAACATTGTAATGGGACCTTTCAGTCTATAAGAAAACTTTTAGGACTAAACAGTGCATAAGTTATTAATTTGGGATTTATTAGTGCATCCCCCTTATTTATATATAGGTTAATAATGTTTGATAATAACTGATTTATGAGTGTATTGTTGATATCAATCATATGCTGATAGTTATTTTAAAATCATGTTATAGAAGTATATATGTTGTTTTATTAATCATTTTAAAAAAATTCAATTACTCATATTCACATAAAATACGAATAATACAAAATGATTGAGAAAAAAAAAAAAAAAACCTAATGATGGATAACATTTAGGCTTTGTTTGACAACTTATTGTTTTAGTTTAAAAGTAAAAAAAGTCACTAAAAAACTAAAAAACCAATAATTTATATCAAAATGTCAAAAAATTTCTTTTCTCTCTATTTTTTACACATCTTTTCGTAAAAAACTAGTTTTTTTTCCAAATATACTATTTTTTTTTTAATCTCATATTTTAACCAAAAACACTAAAACATTATTAAAATAACTTATTTCCAAACCAACTATTTCCAAACGATACCTTAATCTATTCCTTGAACTGGGTAAATTTTTGGATGATGGTGTAGATGGGAAAAAGAAGGTTATTAAGGAGGTTATCGAAGCAATAGATGAGGAAAACAAGTCAGTAACCTTCAAGGTTATTGGAGGAGATGTCACAGAGCTGTACAGGACATTCAAAATCACTGTTCATGTGGATACAAAGGGCGAAAACAACTTGGTGACATGGACTTTTGAGTATGAGAAGAAGAGTGAGGATGTTGAAGATCCAAATACCTTGATGGATTTCGCCATCAATGTCTCCAAAGATATTGAGAGTCACCATCTCAAGTCATAGACACCTTTGGGCGTGTGTGTGTCAAATGTCAATCTTACCAGCTAATAATTGCAGTGTGGTGAAACTTCTAAGTAAGTGTGTAAGATAAAATAAATAAATAAGTGAAACTTCTAAGTGAGTGTGTAAGATTAAATAAATAAATAAGTTAACTCTTTTCTCTAATAGCTTAAGTTGCAGAGGGTATTATCAATGCACGAATATCGTGTATTTAGTTCCTAATATTTAGTAGCCAAATATATACGAGTATGGGATAAGCTTAAGTTAGAATGCTCTCTTTAATAACTTAAGTTTTTAGATGAATTGGCTGTTAACAATTTACATGTATAATCTATTTTCTGGCTACTTTTGTATCAGTTAATATTGTAAATTATTGGTTAATCTTCATGGCGATGAAGTTTTTATTAGTAGAATTCTCTCTATCTCTCTTTGTTTGTCTCTCATACAAAAATACACATAGTAAACCAAATCAATTATTCACAATCTTTTTTTTCTTTTCTTTTCTTTTTTTTATTGGCAAAAATCAATTATTAGTTATTAAATTAGCTCTTAAAAAGAGTTATCCTCAACCTTCCATAGACAAGTATCTATCTGTTGTTTTCGTGTCACTAGGTTACAAAGTCATATATTTCATTAAACATATTGACTATGCAATTCTTACTACCTTTAATTATTTCTCTTGAAACCAAGCATGATTTATTGAGTCTGATTTTTTTTCATACCCATTGAATGTATGTCAACAAAAAAACAATTTTTTAATGATACAAAATAGAGCCTACAACTTTGAATGGGATCAATAAACTTTTTATTGGGATGTAAACCAATTGATTGTTTGAGTTAGCATAGTTGCAGAGAACCATTAATAATTCTATAATTATGTTTTTTTTTTATCAGCAAAAGAACAAGAACTATATTGATGAATAAAAAGATTATTACATCAATAAAGGAAGATGGAGGATGAGTGCAAAAAGTATCATAGTAAACCAAATCAATCCCAATTAGGTTGGTACTAATAAGACCACCCAATCATATGCTAGCACCACATCAAAAGTTAGTAAGAAACTAACCACAAACAGATTTGCAACAGCAATTTACAACCCAAAACCAACCCAAAACAAGTCAGCAACAGCAAATATAATCTAACCATATCTAAGATAAAAATTACAACCCAAAGCTAACAAACAACAACATAGCAGCACAACAGCAAAGAAAATCAACAGCAACAACAACCCAAGTAGATTAGCAACAACAACAACAAAACCCAACAGCATCCAAACAGAGCATCAATAATAAAGAAACACCATTATATACGTCCCACATTGACCAGTAGTAACCCCAGCAGAGCAGCATCACCAAAGCATCACCCATTATACATATAGTAACCCAAACAGAGCCTTCTTTAGACCTTAGATAATATGCCTTACCCATTTTATGTTTGAAACAATCTATTGAATGGAGAAGCAACACCCCACATCAACAAACTTTAACCACATGACCACTCGAATTTTAATAAACTCACATAAAGCATCAATATCAGGTTGAGTATTATTAAATAAACAGTCGTTTCTATACATCCATAGTGACCAAATGACAGAAATAAAAATAACCCTCCATACTTTCTTTTCCTTTTTCCTAACACTACAATAATTTTCACTTTTGGCGACTAAATTTTTAGTCGCCAAAAGTCATTTTTTAGTTGCCTATAGTCTTTAGCGACTAAATTTTTTGGTCGGAAAATTAGTAGCAGAAGAGTAGTCAGCAAAGCTAATTGGCGACTAAACTTTATTTAGTCACCAAATGTATTCATTTGCCGACTAAATTTTTAGTCGCCAATGGGTTGGAAAATTAATTAAATAATACATTTTTGCTGACCAATTTTTTTGTTGCTAAAAGCCAATAATTTAGCAGCAGAAAAATTTTTAGCTACTTAATTTTTTAGTCGCCTAAAGCAAATATTAGTGTTTTGGCTACTAAAATTTTAGTCGCATAAAGTCAATCTTTTTTGGCTACTAAAATTTTAGTCGGCAAATAGTATTTCTTTTGGCTACTAAATATTTAGTCGCCTAAACTTTCACATTTTTGGCTACTAAAAATTTAGTCGCCTAAACTCCCACATTTTTTGCTACTAAATTTTTAGTCGGCAAAAGTATTTTTTTATTCTTCAGCTTTTGTTTTTAGCTACGAAAGATTTTAGTCGCCAAAATGTTTGATTTTCTTTTGGCTACAAAATTTTTAGTAGCCAAAGGTTTGATTTTCTTTTAGTTACAAAACATTTAGTAGCTAAATGCTTGTTTTTCTTTTGGCTACAAAAAATTTAGTAGCCAAATGTTTGATTTTCTTTTGGCTACAAAACTTTTAGTAGCCAAAGTTTTTTTTTTTTCCCTCCTTTTTTTTGGCTACAAAACGTGTAGTCGGCAAAAACATAATATTATGTTTTGTTGCAAATATTATAATGTGTCCATAACCTGTCTGTATTCCATATAACCTGTAATACGTATATAAATAAAATGATACATAAACTATCAATCATTCCACAATCTGCATCCGTATAAAAAAAAAAAATTACTTTAACTGTCCAAGTACATACAAACCAACTATTGTCCAAACTAAAATAATAATTTCATACAAAATATAGAATCATACAAAAAGTAAAGCCCTCCATATTCAAAAATTACATTTACTATACCATGTGAAATGACCATTTGGCATGGTACAAATTCCCATCGTAAGTTGTACCACGACAAAAGGTGATGTATTTATTAAGCCAAAAGTACATATATGTACCACGACAAAAAATCATATATCTGTACGACGACAAAATGTGACATATCTACCATGCCAGTAATTATCTGTTGGCTGCCAAAAGTTTTCTGTATCAATAATAGTTAACTGCATAAAAGCGGGAGACGACAAAAGTATTATATTACTTCTATACAAAAGTACAATTTCTTCTCCATACACCAAAATATCTCTGGAAGTCCACGCAATAAAGTCATCTACAAAAAACAAAAAAAAATTAGAATTGGACCAAAAAGTGCCAAACTTCTTATTAATGTATGTCAGTGCCATTTCAGAAAGGATATTAAAACATGTGATAAAAATAATAACAAAAATAAATTTCAATCATAAAGGAAATATGTAAAAATGTATGTCGAGACACCTATAAATGGTTCATCAAAGAAAGAATACTTGATATCTCATGACTACAAAAAACAAAAAAAAATTAGAATTGGACCAAAAAGTGCCAAACTTCTTATTAATGTATGTCAGTGCCATTTCAGAAAGGATATTAGAACATGTGATAAAAATAATAACAAAAATAAATTTCAATCATAAAGGAAATATGTAAAAATGAATGTTGAGACACCTATAAATGCATCAAAGAAAGAATACTTGATATCTCATGACGCACATGGCCTTAGAAACACCATGAGCATGTTTCATACTTGTATGAAAGCTTAAATATAATATAGCACACGTGTGTATGTTCAAAAATTAGCAAGTTTATAACAAGACGCAAACTGAGTTCATATTGGTTTCTAAATATTTTTCCCATAATTTTCCATTACTATACATCTCCAATACATTCCGTCAGTTGTCACACACAAGTCCTATTTGTAATGGGGAAGCTGCCCGTGAGAGTCAGACGGAGGTTCGGGGGCTATTTTGAAGTTTCACCCCTGAAACGCCCTTTTTCGACTAAGTTTTGGGCGTATTCGGCTCTAAATCCCAACCTACAGGTCCGAATAAGATTCCGTCAGTTGTCACAAGTCATATTAGGCATTTTCGACTAAGTTTAGGGCGTATTCGGCTTTAACTCCCAACCTACGGGTCCGAATTACGTTCTGTCAGATGTCACAAGTCCTATTTGTTATGGAGAAGCTATCCGTGTGAGTCACACAATTGTTCGAGGGCTGTTTTGAATTTTCGCCCCCGAAATGCCGTTTTTCGACTAAGTTTAGGGCGTATTCGGCTTTAACTCCCAACCTACGGGTCCGAATTACGTTCTGTCAGATGTCACAAGTCCTATTTGTTATGGAGAAGCTATCCGTGTGAGTCACACAATTGTTCGAGGGCTGTTTTGAATTTTCGCCCCCGAAATGCCGTTTTTCGACTAAGTTTAGGGCGTATTCGGCTTTAACTCCCAACCTACGGGTCCGAATTACGTTCTGTCAGATGTCACAAGTGCTATTTGTTATGGAGAAGCTATCCGTGTGAGTCACACAATTGTTCGAGGGCTGTTTTGAATTTTCGCCCCCGAAACGCCATTTTTCGACTAAGTTTAGGGCATTTTTGGCTCTAACTCCAAACCTACGGGTCCGAATTACGTTCCGTCAGTTCTCACAAGTCCTATTTGTCATGGGGGAACTGTCCATGTGAGCCACACGGTGGTTCAGAGGCTGTTATGAATTTTCTCCCCCAGAAAGTCCTTTTTCGACTAAGTTTAGGGCGTATTCGGCTCTAACTCCCAACCTACGAGTCCAAATTACGTTCCGTCAGATCTTATAAGTTCTATTTGACATGGTGAAGCTATCCGTGTGAGCCACATCGTCGTTCAGGGGCTGTTTTGAATTTTCACCCTCGAAATGCACTTTTTCGACTAAGTTTAGGACGTTTTCGATTGTAACTCCCAACCTACGGGTCCAAATTACATTCCGTCAGTTCTCACAAGTCCTATTTTTCAAGGTGAAGCTATCCGTATAAGCCACACGGTCGTTCGGGGGCTGTTTTGAATTTTTTGCCCCCCAAACGCCTTTTTTCGAATAAGTTTAGGGCGTATTCGACTCTAACTCCCAACCTACGGGTTTGAATTATGTTCCGTCAGTTCTCACAAGTCTTATTTGTCATGGGGGAACTGTCCATGTGAGCCACACAGTGGTTCGGGAGCTGTTTTGAATTTTCGCCCCAGAAAGTCCTTTTTCGACTAAGTTTAGAGCGTATTCGGCTCTAACTCCCAACTTATGGGTCTGGATTACGTTCCGTCAGATCTCACAAGTCCTATTTGTCATGGTGAAGCTATCCGTGTGAGCCACATGGTGGTTCGGGGGCTGTTTTGAATTTTCGCCCTTGAAATGCACTTTTTTGACTAAGTTTAGGACGTTTTCGACTCTAACTCCCAACCTACGGGTCCGAATTACATTCCGTTAGTTCTCACAAGTCCTATTTTTCATGGCGAAGCTATCCGTGCAAGCCACATGGTCGTTCGGGGGCTGTTTTGAATTTTTGCCCCTGAAACGCCATTTCTCGACTAAGTTTAGGGCGTATTTGGCTCTAACTCCCAACCTACGAATCCGAATTACGTTTCGTCAGTTCTCACAAGTCTTATTTGTCATGGGGGAACTGTCCGTGTGAGCCACACGGTGGTTCGGGACCTATTTTGAATTTTTGCCCCAAAAAAGTCATTTTTCGACTAAGTTTAGGGCATATTCGGCTCTAACTCCCAACCTACGGATCCGGATTACTTTCCATCTACTTTGATTATTCATATAATTGAAAAAATAACAAATGACATTTACATATTATAAAATCAAATCAACACAATCGATGGTATTACATAATATGTGAAATAATTGAGGATCATTCCCTATGCATTGTAAAATTACATTCGAAATAGGCACTACAACAAAATTGAATTTTTATGGCTTGCAATGCATGCTGTAAAAACTCTTTCATGCCACTGTCTCTACAATCCCTCCAAACAAGGCCTTATCAAAACAAAAGGCACATAAACCTTATCTTGAAAACTAGAAATAGCTATGGTAACTGTGTGGGTGAATTTCCGATCACACTGCCAACTTAGTATTCAGCGGGAGAGTACTGGCAGAATAGATGACACCTGGCTGACTTGCAACAGAAAGAGAAGATTACGACGGTGGTTCGTCCACCCGAGGGCACTCCGACGATCAAGTTAGTATATTTCTCAAAGATAATTAATTGCTAAACTCACTTGTTCTGAGTATAAATTGCGTACCTTAGACCCATCGGGGGTGCCTTTCTTTTATAATTAACTCAATCCTAGTCCCCATAGAAGCCTAGCTTCAATGGACTTCTGCTTAGTGCTTATCCTGGACTCTCCAAGAGATAAAGATACACTCCCTAAGAGTGTTATCCTTATCCATGCTAAAGTCCTTCCTCATTCTAGGACTCTTGTGTCTTATCCGCTTATCTCAGATTCCGATATCTACGGAGATCACCTTGGTGTCATAACCTGAACACGTGGAACCTCGGCTAACACGTCAGCGTCACATTGGCCACGTGTTGAGACTCAGAAAATATATCCCCACAACTGCCCCCTAGGTTCTATTACCTCGACATTCTGAGGTGATGGAACCTATATCAATACTTCCTTTCAGTACGTCGGCTTAAAGTATCTCAGCTGAGACCGCCGTTAAGGCTGACATATCTCTTTAAAGAACAAGGATCCCAAGAGCTCTTCTTAAGCGTATGAGCTGTCATACACAATAATTCAACCGTTTTAGCCACGTACCTTTCCCTTATTGGATCGTGCTTGTGACGCGCCTGTAAGCCGTCTCGCGCCTGTGAGCGTCGTCTGACGAATCCGTCGTTCTAGGCTCATTAATTTTATTTTGCCGCTGTTTCAAGTTTTCACAAAACTTTTCCCCCTCTTCCATCTTTTCACTTTTCTCCATCGTTTCTGAGGCTTTCTCTCTCTCTCTAGCTTTTTCAAGTCCTCCATTGATAAAGCTCTGCAACTTGCTCCGTCCACCTCCTCCGGCAAGGTTCTTGCTAATCTTTTTCACAGTTGTCGTTCGTCTGACCTCGATAAACTCAACACCGGCTTCTTTTCTTTGGTGAGTTTACTGCTTCTCCTAATTTCAGTTCTTGATGCTCTCCATTACTCGTTGCCATTGCTGCTTTGTTCAAACATTCGATTTGTGAATCATATATCTAAACGTGTTTATTTCACGACTTTGCTCTTGCCCATGTCTTGAGTATACGTATTGCTCACAATTTTTCTGCAGTTTTGCCACTGTTCTTGGCTTCGTGCCCCTGTGCATACTCTGTCACAGTGTTCTTGATAGTTTCATTATTGTTCTTGATTCTGAAATACGTTCCTGTTTTCTATTTGCCGTGTTTTTGCTAGATTCTTGCCTCCAATCTTTGTTTCCATAGATCTAAATTTGGAATTTGTTTGTAGAATCCACAAATTCTTAGGAAAAACTGAAACGTATTCAGTCAATTTTAGCCGAGGTCATTCAAAATCATCATAAAACATTCCTTTCCGAAGTCTCTCACCTTTCACTTAAGCCGGTATTATGGGTATGTGGAGGCATAGGGTAGACACCCCGACCAAGTTAGAATACTTTAGGCGAGAGTTTTCCATCCCTGCCGACGTGAATTTGAGGTTGGCTGGGGAGGATGACTCTATCATGCCCACAACTGATTCTATGCCCCTACCAGTTGTAGCTTTTATCGAGTGCGGACTTCGACTCCCACTTGATATCCTTTTTCGTGAGATAATCCATTATTATAAGTTGAACCCAATGCAGCTTGCCATCAATTCCTACCGAGTCACAAATGGTATAATTGCCTTAGCCAAACAAGAAAATGTTAGGGTTACCTTAGCCGACATCTAATATTGCTATACCATGTGTGGCCTCAAAAAAGATACAGGCTATGTTTACTAACTCAAACTGAGGTCCATAGAGTACAAAATTATTGCCGACCTCCCAGACTCCAACAAGGGAGCTGGGGATGATTACTTCATCACCTCGAGAAACTGGAAGTTCGCTCCAGACGAGGACCTCCATCTCTACCCTCTTCCTCGAACAGTTTTTGTAGAGGGTAATGGTAAGAGCCCTGTGCTCACAGTTAATTGTTTTTAAAATCTTCAATACTTTGTTTATTCTAACGTCTGTTTTTTCTTGTAGCTCTTTCAAAACCAGAAAAAGGCTTCCGAAAGTCTTTTTTCCCCAGCAAAGGTCTGAAGAAGCTACTGGACTTCCAGTCCACAAGCGCAAAGCTCCCCTGCTAC